TATAGGAATCCTCTGGTTTCTTCATGGTTTAAACATTATCGGGATACTCCTTACACTTGCAGCCCCTCTCTGTCAGTGCTTCCCTTCTTTTTCCCTGCAACTGCAAATTCTCCCAAAATGCGAAAGTGATTGAGAGGGGTTGTGAAGATTAAACAAGTCAATGAAATCACTAGTAGCAGCAGGGTCTTTACGAATTAAAATCAGTGAGAGCGATGTAATGACGGGTATGAGCGCTTGTTTCATGTGTGGCTGGGAGGGAAGAAATTAGCAAATGAGGGCCTCTCTCTCTCTATCTCCATCTCTCCGACCGTCTCTCCCCCCTTATCTCGATCAGCAGGATGATAATTTCAGGCAACAATCAGCGAGAGCCTCTGCCGAGCTGCTTCCTCTCTCGGCACAGGGCGCATGTTGTTACGCTTCCTCATCAGCGGACACGCACACACTCACGTTCACACACACAATCTGTTGTGCACAAATACTTTTGCAACCTACAACATCGTCACACACATGACTCGCTAAGCTGATTGGCCAGCTGACAGAAACAACATCTATGGTTCCCAGAGGATGAATCCTGCTGACCTCTGTGATCCCCCTGACAGTGTTTCCATCAGGCTGCTATTTTGGGGTTTACAGTCAGTCAGGCTGCCTGACTGTTATTTATTTATGGGTCTGATACTAGATTCTTTAAAGTACTCATACTTTAATAACCAGGTATAAATGTTTTTTTTTTTTCATATCTATTTTGTAGTATTTTATTGACTTCTTTTGGAAAACAGCAGCATGTTTGATAATCATTTAGAGAAAAGGTTGGACTCTTCTGTTGTTGTGGTGAATACAGCTAAGATCGCATGGTGGTCTTAATCTTTTCCCACAAAGGATAGTACGGCTGTGCACTTGACACCGACATGCAGAGAACACTTCAACCACACAGGAAAACAAACTATGTCACCCATAACTGTGGCTTATTTCCTGCATCAAAAACCAAACTGATGCATGCTCTCATCAGCTTTCATTGAGTTGTGTGTGAGGGGTTTTGTTCAGTTAGAAAAACCATAACCTAAATTGAAAATGTCCCTGAACAACGAATCATAACTTCAAAGCAAGAAGGTTTTTGATTTGTTTGGGATCATTTATTTTAATGATGTACTTTTGAATTTGACTCTTAACTAACCTTCAACTGTGAACGCTGATTTGAAAAGACTTTTACGTTACTTTAATAATTGCCAACTTGACCATTAACACTGGAACATTTACAACTTCACAATCCATGACATTTAGATGGTGATAATTGTGATTAACATGTTCATATATTAATAGCAGATCTGTGATGGGATGCAAACGGCATTGTCCTGCATTAAGGTCGGATACATTCACTTTCACAGACTCACTTTCTGCCTCGCAACGTAAATGTCACACCACTTCCTGGATGTGATGCCTCTACGTTTAAAATAGAAGCTCTTCAGGCAGTTTATAGAAAACATTTCAACCCTGGACTGTGAGGAAAAAGTCACATTTTAACAGGATAGATGCATCTTTGATCATGGAAAAAATGTGATTTGCAGCCCTTCACATAACCTACAAAATGCACCTGTTAACCCCTTGCAGGCCATACATGTCCTTTGAAAGCCCTCCTTCAGACATCTACAACCCTTTTAAAATTGCAGATTCCTCTCTCCCTGAAAGGTCATTTGAAGAATGACTCACTATCTCCTGTGTGTTTGATGTCTTTCATAGTGGGAAAGGAGCAGAAATCACCAGAGTGGGCCTTCACTTAAAAAAAAAAAAAATTCCCAGCAAAAATCTGCACAATCTTCCTGCACCCAGGAGGGACGCAGGGGCTGCAGCCACCGAGGGTATATGAGCTTTAAATTTAGCACAAGAGGAGGAAAGAGCAGCTACTGTATAATAAGCAGGAGGAGAGAATAAGTTGCACTTTGACCTCGGCTCCCTTTATAGATGACAGCGGCGACCTTGGGTGGATGAGGAAGGAGATTGATGACGGCCATTTTTGCTTAATGAGCTCAGGAGAGAACACCACGAGAGAGGCCAATCGCCTCGTGCTCCAGGAGGTAAAAAAGACAAATGTCAAGTTGTAAAGGTATTCTGCAGCAGAGTCACCCTTTACATCCTGCCACTTATACACTTCAACAGCAAGGAGCACCCAATGTACTCCCATTCCCTTCTTAACGTCGTAACGTTTTTTGGTGACTGTGGAGTTCTAACTAGGGATGAGCATTAAAAGTAATGTAAATGCTGGAGCGCTCACATTACCTCATGAACAAGTACAGTACTCTCTAATTATATGTAGTAGTGTTTCCTCAAATCCCAGATCATATGACTCTCCACAGGTCTATAGTAACAAACACTTTACTGTTCTGCACATTTCTGCTGTTTTGTTTTTAACTGGGGCGCTGACTAATGCAGGGGTGGCATGATGTTTGTGGGCCCACACATGCAAATTAACTTACATTTGTTTTACCCTTTCTATCCCCATTAATGATATGTACTTCTACAGTAAGTCACTTTTTCTCCCTACACAATGGGAGTCAAGCCCACAGACTGACCAACACTGTGATAAAAGTCAAACCCTGTGAAAAGGCTGCAAGCTCCTCACAGTCTGCACTGTTAGCATTTCAATCTAATCCAACTCAACTGAACACAAACATGTATGGACAACTGTAAAATGACAGTCATTATTAACAATGCAATTTGTTCAAAATGAATTGTGCAACCCCTTTCAGAAATTAAACATTTTAAAAAGCATACTTGCTATTAATATAATACAAATATTGATACTTGGCAGCCATGAATTGATACCGCCACACAAAGTATTGCGATACTATGCTGTGTCTTTTTTTCCCCAACTCTAAGTATATTCAGTTAGGCAAACCCAGAAAGCTCAGTTACACTTGTGACGCTACAGTTGAAATATTGTAGCCCATGACAACACGGCTGTGCGAGTATGGAAACATTACAAGTACACGAGTACCCAAGTACTAGTAGGGGGCGGCTGTGGCTCAGTTGGTAGAGTCTCTCAACCGGAAGGTCGAGGGTTCAATCCCCAGCTGGGCAACATGTCCGATGTGTCCTTGGGCAAGACACTTCACCCTGAATTGCTCCCACTGCTTCAGTGGTGGTGTATGAATGGGATTAGTTACTTCTGATGGATGATACTACATAGCGATAACTACCATCAGTGTGTGAAAGGGTGTGAATGGGTGGGTGTGACATGCAGTGTAAAGGCTAGATTACAACACAGCCACACCTTGGATGTGCATTTTTCTTTACGACTCCTGTAAGGAGATTTCAGCTGGTTAAGAAACAGACTGAATTACTGAAACTTCTTTATGACTTACAACTCTGCAATTCATTGAGCAGAGGCTTTTTGTCCAAAGCAACGAACACCTGAGAGGAAGTACAACACAAGCGAGGATCTAGAGAGGAGGAAACAATGTCAGTAAGTGCTAACAACAGCTTCAAGTCCGATCAGACACACAGGTGCTGACAGGCACTGCACAGAGGGAAAGCACAGACCCAAATGAGTAATAAAGACCATTAGGGATGAGATTGATTATTTCTATATAGTGTTTGTTTATAAATGAGTGGTGGTGACTGTGTCTGCAGAGTCCTCTGCCTCGATTTTCTTTTTGTTTTGGTGGACTCTGGAAGTTTCTGGGCAGGGAGCTGGTGTGTGTTTTTCTCCCAGTCAATGACAGGGCTCAGGTGAGTCAGGGAGTTGGTACTATTCAGCGATTGCAAACAATTTAAACCCGCAAAATTTGACGGACGATTTGGAGTTAGCAGAAAAGAAGAGAAAATACAATCACATTGAGGTGAAAACACCAAGCAGGTAAAGCTCGTTCCAAAAACAATGGGTTAACCTTTGCTATGCTTTGACCTGCCGGCGTAGAGTTGGCCCTGCTTTCTGTTACAGACAGGTGCCAAACACAGGATATTAGCTTGTGCTAGCGTACGGTAACTTACAGTAAACGTGCACACTAACCCTGTGGTGAGTCTGTGCTTTGGTAGTACTGAGCCCAGGAGGAGGGGCCCTGTTTGAATGTTGTGTTCACAAGCTGCAACGAACATCTCTACTGTCTCTACCTTTTCATATTTCCCACGGCAAAGACGCATGGTAACTCGCATGTTAGACATTTTAAACGATAGATCCACGTTATTGACAGTGTGGATTTTCTCCTTCCCGATCTTTATTTGGAAAAAGTAAGGGATGATTCTTTTCGGGATTTAGACAACAAATGAAGCTATTCAAAGAAGTCACTTTTGGTTCAAGGAAATTCTGATGAGCTCATTCCAATTTTTTTACATTTACAAAAAAAATAGACAAAAAAATACTTAGGATATATCCCTTAAATATTAACCATTGACTATAGTGAAAAAGGTGGCACAATAGTAATAATGACAATACTTGGTATTTGTTCTCCTAATCTGAAGGGCGCCATCACATGCACGATTCAACCCCTTCAACTAGGGTGTGCAGTTTAAACTTTACAAACAAGAAGCTGCACAAAATGCCCTCGGCATCCTCACACACCATCCTTAAAGCGCCTCGAACAGAAGCCGCTTGATTATAAGATAAAAGGTTGCCATGGAAACAGTTTTTTTCTGTAAATTCTGCCTCCACAGGGAGAAAAGTGAGGGAAACGCAGAGGAAAGGAATATGAGGGGTAAAAGAGTTGTTGCAAAACGAAGAGAAGGAGTGAGATTGAAACCTGGAGGATCTTTAGTAAAAAAGTGATGAAGAATGGAAAGTGCTGATGCAGCCACAGCATCGCCGCAGGTGCTCATGGGAAATCATCTGACCTCCCAAACTGGGTTACCCCACATCAAGGAGGGGAAGAGAAAGGGTAAAAAGACAGAACATGTCAGGTGATGATTTGTTTCTCACTTTTTCCTCTCTCTCTCTCTCTCTCTCTGTTCTGGAGGGAGGGATGGAGGGGACACTTCAGTGTCCTCTTTCTTTCATCTTGTCTCCGTCTTACCTGGAGCGGTGCAGTTCTCAAGGCTGCTGTTGTTTGTTTCCTGCAGTAGCCTCCTTCCTCCCCATCTCTCCTGGTCGCCGCTGCTGTGGCCAGAGACGTCAAAACCTGGAAGATGGTTGTCACAGTGAAAAGTTTAAAATAGATTCAAGGACATTGCAGTGCAGCTACAGCATCGAGAAGTAACATTTAAACACACAGAACATGAAAGCTTGGTATGATAGCAGTGCTGCTGAAACACGTATACAATCGCATTTCTACAATAAATTTAGCAGACGAAATAGCAAAGAAAAGCCAAGGAGCATTGACAAATATACTACAAGTAGGGCAGCCACATATAAGCTCTCTCTTCAAATTATCAATTTGTGTTGTATATCCAATCCTTTTCCCTTCAGTCTTTCTTCTTAACTTACTAGAAACTTTAATAACTGAGCCTCAATGTGCCCTGCGAGTGTTCATCATTTAAGAGCGTGCTTCCTCTACCACAGAGGTCAACAGCTCTCCAAAACAAACGAACCCAGTAATGACAGCATTTAACAACATGGGAAAAAGCAGTTTGATATTAGTTATTGTTTCTCAGACAATGTCAGCTGGCAAAGGAGGTCAGGGGAGGGAGGGGCTGCAAGCTGAGCAGCTGCTAGCTTGTTTAAAGGTTTTCCGCTTGTTTTTGGTTAAGCATTTAATTATTAGCTAGGTATTTTTATTTTTTATTATTATTATTATTCTCTGAGGAATCCACTTTTCTAGATATATCTGAGACAGAAATTCAAATCTATAAAAAAAAATACTCTTTGAGGAGCTGCAGGGGCTACCTTTAGCCAGAATAGTTTATTTGTACACAAGTCCCGCCTCTGATTGGGCAAATAGCCAATCATAGATTTGGATTTTGGGGTGGTACCTTGGGTGGTCAATCAAATTTCAAGGGGGCCAATGCCACCCCTGGCCACCCCTTTGGATACAGCCCTGGCGTGGATGTTGCAGTTGCATTATAATAAATATGTCAATTTTTACTCCTTTCCGACGCCTTAAAGTTTGATTCTTTATGTAATAGTAGGGAAGGACACAGCTGGAGGAGTGCAACACAGATGTGTCAGTATTGTATCTTCTCCCCAGCACTCCTTCCCCCAAAATTCATACATTGAAGGGAAATATCATGATTTTCCAAAACAAAATGCTCTATGGGTGGGTGGAGCAACATTGCAGCGCACAAAGTGGGGCTCCCACTGTGGCTACATCTGCACATTCTTCAAGAAAGTGGCAACACCAGTGAATTCATTTCATACTTCAGGGAGCCCAGCAGGAGATCTCTGCCCTTTCCACCCTGCCAACCACAAGTCTGGCCTAAGAGAGGGATTCAGATGGAATTAAAAAAGCCCCAGTTATTCTAAAGACCTCTGGGCATGACTGAACTTCTCACCTGGCCTCACCTTCACTACAGTACACACAGCAGCAGCAGCAGCAGCAGCAGCAGCAGCGGTAAGGTTTGCGTGCCAGTGCTGCACTGTTTCCTCCTTTCCTGCTATCATTCCCTATCTTGCACACAGAGAGAAGGAAAGGAAGTACGAGAATGATTAATGTGCCACTGTGAGGAGGCGTTGAGTGCTCCGCTTTCCAGCTCCACGGCATCAAGCCCCCATCTCGCTGAACTTAATTAAGCGCATCATAAATAATCAACTTTAATTGATATTCTGGAAAGCTGATTACGAATTAACAAGAGTACAATGGAGACAAGGGAAACGCATTAAACGCCCCAGTGTCTTCTCTTGTTCACCTCCCAATTCTTGCACACACAGAGAGAGCGGCACTGTTGTATTTCCATGTAACCAGGATACGCAGAGGGGAGGATACAGGAGGAAAAAAAAATGTCCCACTGATGATGCACACATCATAAGTGTATGAATATTCATGCGGGCCTTCTGTCCGTTGGAAAAGTGATGAATGCATCTCACTTTAGCTGATGCTGACTCGATAATTAAGGAGTGTTTGGGGGGGGGGGGGCGCGCAGTCAAACATAGATTCAAAGACCAAAAGAGTGAAAAGCAAGCATTCGAGTCATGTGGTACAGATGTTTGCTGTGAAGAAGTTCTGCAGGACAGATATTTCATTTTCAGGGATTCATTGTGATTGTGTGAAATTTAACAAACATGTCAGCTCGTACAAAAATGAAGACACAGTGTAATCCAGAGGCCGAAACCCCTGGGGCTCATTGCCCTGATTTTAACCGCTCTGCAGCTTAAACACCTGAACATATACAGGAGCCTCTGATCACTCCATGAGCCCAGAATAGTTTCCCCCATGGTGAAAAGCTCAGATGAGCACTATAGTCTACCATTTTACCTGTGCACCTGTGCAAACACCTAGAAGCCCACTTAAGTGTTTTTTCAGGTCAAACTGGGGCTCATATGATATAAATCCATAAACATGTTTTTGTGCAGCAGCATGACAATATGCAGTGTTTATGTAGGCTAAATTAAATATACTAAGGAATGATTGTAAAGGTATTTTATATTGACACTGTGTCCATTCTAAAACATTGTAGACCCTATTTTGATCATATATGAAGGTGATTTGTTGTGCTACACACGTCGTACGTCAACATACTTAATCAGAAATAAATAATTAAATAAATCCCAGAGGGAATTTCGGTAAAGATTTGCTACATGTATATAACTTAACTTAAAGTTAATATTTTAGGGATATATCCTAAGAATAATTTAAAGTTTCAAAACGTAAAAATGGATTTATAGTCTAAAAGTTAGTTCTGACCAGTTAAGTTGATTGGACAAAAGGCATTCAATGAGCGCTGTTATGGAATATTACATCTCTTGAGTTTTCACTCTGCTTTAACTGTTCTTAATTTAGTACAAAATAATATTAGTGTCATAAAGACAAAGATTTGAATGAACAAGGCATTTCAAAAGGAACCACATGTAGTCCTATAGAAGCTGTGGAACCAGTTGTGTTGTTGAATGAATTATCACATCAAATATGTTGCGTATAGGTCTAGGCTATCCACAAAACTGATGTGTAACAGCAGCTGCTTGTTTGTTGTAGTGAATATCAGCAGGACTGTAATTATATTCAGCACTATGACTGAATCTGTGCTCATACTTTGTACAACAGCACTCCCTCTTGTGCAATATCATATCTACAGTAGCACATGTATCGTGATATGTAGCCTACTGTATCGACAAAGTGTGGTTATATGCCCATTCATTTACAGACAACTGAAGAAGGAGAGTTGCAGAGTTCAATGTCCAGATAAGCCTACACGGATAGCTGAATGTCACACACGACAGTAGATTCGTATAGTTAGTTCAGAAATTGAGGAAATGTTTGACACCAGATGTGACTGTGGGAAAATGCAAGAGCAGCAATTGGCGGAAGTAGTGATATGGTGGTTCATCACAAAGCAACTGTCTGCACTAATATTAATGTCTCGTATCTACACGATACGTCGCAATGAAGTAGATCTACAACGTGTCAGGTCAATTCAACAAACAAGAAGCCTCAGAGCAAAGTGCTTAATCCTCACCTGAATTTTCCGCTAAGTAGGAAAACCCCTTGACGACCAGAAGCAAGCCGCAGAACAAGCAAATCTGGATTAAAACCAACTCCTTTCGTCTTTTCCGTCTCGCTTTCACCTTCTTCTGGCTCGGCATCACTTGCTCCGGTCCATTCCGGAGTCGGATACCCGGCAGAGACATCCCCTGTCCCGCTGCCACATCCATGCGGATCCCCCGAAGTCCAAAAATATATAATTTAAAAATAAAAACGTGCAACCTCCTCTATTTTCCCAGGGATTTGATTTATCTCCAGGGAGCGGATGAAAAAGTAGCCTTACAGGGGAGGGGTTTCAGGGAAGCAGTGGGGGGAATGTTAGAAAGAAAAAAAAAGTTTGAAATTGGTACAGCTAGGATGCTGAGAGGGCTGCTTGGTAAAAAATAAAAAAAGCCGACAAGCTTCTGGCCGATAGAGCCGGGTGTTTACTTCTTATGTCATGTTGAAATGTGGTTTAGGAAATACAGCAGAGGACTGCAGCAAGAGCCCTCCATCGATGCGTCCGTCTGCTGAGTGTTGAGAGGGCACGCTGAGAGAGAGAGAGAGAGAGAGAGAGAGGGAGAGAGAGAGAGAGGGAGAGGGAGAGGGAGAGGGAGAGAGCGAGAGAGAGAGAGGGAGAGGGAGAGAGCGAGAGAGAGGGGGGGAGAGAGAGAGAGGGGGGGAACAGAGAAAGAGAGCTAGAGAGAGCGAGAGAGAGAGGGGGAGAGAGAGAGAGAGAAACAGAGAGAGTGGGAGGGAGAGAGAGAGAGAGAGGGAGAGAGAGAGAGGGGGGAGCGAGAGAGATAGAGAGAGAAACAGAGAGAGGTAGAGGGAGCTATATAGACTGTAAATATTATATACACAATGAATGAAGTGAGTACAGGTCAAAAACGTGTTTATATTCTAATGCTGAAAAAAAGCAACTAAAACTAACCACATAGAAGCGTAAAACTGTCAACTTTTAGGGGAGAATAGGACGACTGCAGCACATTTTTCATTTTTTTAAAACTGTCACATTGTAGTTCTCATGAAACCATTAAAGTACCATGGCAGTAATGATTCTAAATATAAAACTTGAAATTTAGTTATATAACTTAATATTATAATAAAGACAACAATCTTCTCGACCTTGCACAAAGAGTAATTTCAACATAAGAATGAATTATATTAGTATTTTATTGCATTTTCTGCTGAAATTCTCATTACCGCAACTCGTCCAGCTCTTACTGACCCTATGTTTTTTGTCATTTAAACAGAGTAAAATTAAAATATTCTGAAAAAAAATAATGTAATCTTATACTAGATGTTTTCAAATGACAGAAAATGTATAAACTGAATATTCATGTATAATAATTATGGAAAAATTATGGTAAATGTAAGTGTCCCTGACTGATGTTCTCATACTCCGAAACATTTTTGAAAGACTGTTTACACGTGCACAAAGAAGTTTGATACATTTTGATTTAGAATGAAGCAACACATCTGCCAGTACGTTCAAAATGGCTACCAGGTAAGCAGAACTCTTCATATTTCTCCAGTTAAAAGTGAAACATTCTGTTATCAGACTGCATACACGACAGTATTGATTATCATTACCGATATTGTCATTTTCTACAATAATAAAAATGTTAGTTTTAAAATTGTCTTAAATATACTTAGTAAATGTCTACTTATGTTCATTGAGTAAAAATTTGCTTAGTCATTATGGCTCTCCTATTGTTAGCAAAACATGCTATGGCTCCTCATCCTCCGAAACACCATCCTCACTTACCGCTACAATTTAAGTCCAGTAGCGGTAGAGAGAACTTGTGTTTCGGTAATGAGAATTTAACCGTACAAACTATATTTTTAAATAAATATTATGAACTTCAATATTATATACTAACTTGATATTTTGCTATGTCCCGTTTCATTGCAAACAGTCAGCAAGTGACAGAAAGAAAGCTTTAGCTAAGGCTAGGATGATAAACTTCAGAGAAAAGATTTACACCAACCCAGAACTACTGGAAGAGTACAGAAGGAAAGAGAGAGAGAGGTCACAGCAAGAGTAATTAGCATTTACTGTATATATTCTATAGGAAGTGTATGCCTTCATAGAGTACTACACACACACACACACACACACACACACACACACACACACACACACACACACACATTATGGTGCACCATTTTATTTAAAAGTCCCGCGCGCATGCACTATTCAAAGGGGGGGGGACCCAAGTGATTTTAACAACTACCAACCCATCTCTAAACTTTCTTGCTTGGTGAAGGTCTTTGAATCACTGGTAAATCAGCAACTGCGTGATGTTTTAAATTGAAAATAACATCCTTACTCCCCATCAATCAGGATTCCGACCGGGCCATGGTACAATATCGGCAGCAACCCTTGTAATAAATGATATAATTAATTCAATCGATAATGGTCAAAAATGTGCAGCCCTCTTCATTGACTTGTCCAAGGCATTTGATACAGTCGACCACCCTATTTTGTTTAGTAGATTGGCATCTTTTGGGTTTGATGAGACTGCATTGAACTGGTTCCACGACTACTTAACTAACAGAACCCAAGCAATAGTTGTGGATAATGTAAAGTCCCCCTTCATGGAGGTCAACAAAGGAGTACCTCAGGGATCTATCCTTGGACCGATTCTATTTACAATGTATATAAATAGCATTGCAGAAAATATTGAAAACTGTCAAATTCACCTGTATGCTGACGATGCAATATTATATGCCATTGCGCCCTCCAATACTCAAGCCCTTTCATTGCTACAGACCGATTTTAACTCTCTCCAGCAAACTCTTGTTCATCTTAAATTGAAACTGAACCCCGAAAAAACTAAATATATGATCTTCTCAAGACAGAACGTTGAACCCATTAATGCCACATTGTCAACAGTAGACAATGTAAACATTGAGTGTGTTCAACAGTTAAAATATTTAGGTATCTGGTTAGATCATGATTTGTCGTATAGGTCTCACATTTCTTGTTTATCTGGAAAAATAAGACCGCAACTTGGTCTTCTGTATAGGAACAAATCCAAGATTGTCAAAACAAAAGATTGTCCAGGCCACAATACTGCCCGTTTTGGAATATGGAGACACAATCTGCTTCTGTCTTGAAGCATTTAGATGCCTTATACCACAGTGCTCTTTGCTTTATCACAGGCGACAGATTTCAAACTCATCATTGTGACCTTTATCGTTCTTTAGGCTGGTCCTCGTTGGGTCAACAAAGAAAGCAGCACAGTATTTTGTTTGTTTACAAGGGACTCATCGGTAAACTCCCTTCTTACCTTATTACTCTCCTGTCCATAAACATATGAGCCATTTGACTAAGTCTCAAAACTGGATAAACACCAAGGTTTAGAACTGAATGGGGAAAGACTGCCTTTAGTGTTGCTGCACCCATCATATGGAATGACCTTCAGAGGATAGCTAAGTTGCCCTCTTTTGTTTCATACAGCGTGTTTAAAGACCTAGTGCCCAAACTACCTCAGGAAGGAAATTGCAACTGTTTCACAATGTGAATTAATTTTAAATGGACATGGTTTACATGTGTGAATATGTGTTTCAGTGTCTAGATGCTATTATTGTTTACTGTTAATATATTTAAATTTGTGCTGTTTCTATTTTTGTATTGCTGCAGGGCACCCCTGGTCTCAGTGTTTGTTTTATAGCAATTCTAGAAAGAGCTATTTCAATAATGAACAGAAAATAAACAACAACATTGTGTGACCTTCTGCCTGCCTGCCTGCCTCAGTGGGTCCTCCCTACTAAAATAAAGGATGAATAAAAAAATAAAAAAAGTATTGATGCATACATTTTTGCGTAATGTATTTTGCCCATGTATGTTATGTAATTGATTAAACTTGAATCCAATCTATTACCGGTAAATTATAAAATGGTTTTAACCATACCTCAGTCTTAGTATTTACTTATAGTATACTTAATTATCATTACCGAAATCTTCAACCTCATTTCCGAAACCCATGTATCATTACCTCAACAGGTGTTGATTTAATGTCAATTTAATGAGTATAATAATAGTAATAGCTTTAAAATGTATGTGCATAGTATATACATTATGCCTTTCAGGTTTATCACATCATTTTGGAAATACCTACAGGTTTCATTGAAATATCAAATATTTTAGGTTGCAGATTGTGGAAGGTGTTGCGGTAATGAGAGAAATCAGTCTAAATCAAATGAAAATGTTAATTTAATTATATATATAATTCAGACTCTCAAGTAACTTTGCATGACTGTTAATAAATGTATTCTTATTTCTAATGATCTTGATGTTTTGAGACCATTGCGGTAATGAGATTTTTATGGACTTGTTTTGGAAAATATGTTCTAAAACGTGTTAAATTGTCAGTAAATATTTTATAATTTATGCCTACAAACATTTAAGACCTTGATATTAATGCCTAAAAAAGAAATTTGTTTAATCTAGTCTTTTAAAGATTTCATGTTGTAACTCTATGAAACCAAGATTTCAAGATTTCACCCTATTACAAATACTTTACTGATCAAATTGCAGAGCTAAAAGCTAACTTTTTGTACACTTTACAGTTTTGATGCACATTATAGGGTTATTGGGTTTCAAACATTGATCACAAAGCCATTACAGCATAAACATTCAATTACACAAATACATTTTTGCTGTTTGTCTCAATAAGTCCAGTTTTTAAAAAAATAAGAAAATCTGAATTATTACAGTAATACTATTAATTTGTACAATATTACAGTATATTGTATCAACTTATTTAGATGTATGCAACATTTAAAATAATATTGATTTTATTTGTGTTTATATCATGTTACAGCTGTTAAATCTCTTTATAATGTGGCCTGGACAGTTATTCACTCAGTCTTGGTCCAAACTTGTATGGGGATGTATGTGCAGTGAGTGACATCACAGCTTGTTTCTGGTGTTGTTGCAACTGTTTCCATTTTCCCCTCCAGTACAGTTTATGTCCTTTTGTTAAAATGCATGTTTTATCTGTCCATTTAGGCTTATTAACTACACTGACAACAATGACATGTGCATTTTAACTACCATTAACACATTTTTTAAATCAAAATTATATTATCAGAAAAAAAAACATATTTTTTTGTTGATTTGTCTGGAATGAAATAATTTTCATACAAGATCGCACAGAGGAGTTGGACACACAAACTTCACAGAACTGAAGCTGATTTCTAAACGGGGTAAGACACGGACTGGTTGCCTCAGAATTCTATTTACCTCAAAGAATGGCAGGAAAACCTTAAAATCTCCAATAAAGTGTCCCCTGAGTAAATATGAGCTCCTGAAAAACTCAAAGTGAGTGCTCCTGCCTTGTATAGAATAACTTTGAATTCTCCCTTTAAGCACACAGGTTTAATATAAGCTGTTCTATAGTAGGTATTCAATATTTTGGACTATTTTCATATTATTTTGAGTTCACTATGTAGAGGCTCTATTTTGAGAGTAAAGTAAATAATAAAGGTAAGGTTTTTTGTTCTCGTTACCAAAAGTTATCAAGCTTGAATAAC